TATTTCAACTCTGTTTTAGATTTGCCCCAGCCTAGAGCAGTTATTCAGCCCACAAAGTAAAGCAGTTAATTCAGTGTAAAACAACCCAAACTCAGTGTAAAGCAGCCCAAAGCTTGACTACAAATAAATATTTTCTGGAGATATTTCCCACATGAATTCGAAAAGACACAGAAACCTCAGTCCACAATTGTATTTTGTTACTCAACTAATCTGAAATTATGTTTATTAAGAATTCCACCTCTTGGAAAAGCCCTGCAGATTAAAGAGAGTCTTTTGTTTTCTTCTCAGACACCTTACATTTTCTTCCCCTCATTTAAATACTTTTCTGTGGCTTTAGCAATAAATGCTGAATTATTAAAGTACAGAATGGACACTGAGAAATGTGTTAGAAGTGTGACCAGAATTATTAAGGACCCACAGGCACAGAAGAATTCACATGAAAAAAAATGATCTCATCTTCCACCCCAGCTCTCTGTGGCCACACACTGGATGATCTGATACACACAAAAAGTGCTCACACCTCCTTAATTCAGATTATTCAGAGTTCCCAGCCTTTTCCCAGGCATCCTGAACAAAATCAGAACAGCAAATATCAGAGAGACCCTGCTGGTCCAGCTCCCTCTGCCTCCCAAGGGATGCAGGAATCCCTGACTAAGGAATATTTTTATTCATTTTTATCCACACTTGAAGCATCACTCTGAGGCTCCAGCAGGAGAAGGTTAAGGAAATAATTCTCATGCACCAATTAGCAGAAAACAGGAATAAACCCAGGAAAGCTCACTACACTTGCATCCATTAAAAATGCATGCTCACCTCATTTCATCAGCTTTAACCCTCAAAGTGATGCTTGGAAAACAAACTGGAACTTTCCTTTCCCAAGTTATTGTTGCTGCCCACTGCCACTCAGCACGAGAGGGGAATTTTGGTTACTGACAGAACAACCACAACGTGTCACCTCAAATCACTGCTTGGATTTCCCTCTCCACCTTGGACACCCCTACACCTCAAAAAACTGGAAAAGGCAGCCCTGAAATGTCTGTCTCCACTGCAGACAGCACCAAAACAAAACAAAAATCCCTAAAAAATGTTATTTAACTAATAAAAAAAGACTTGTGTTGTTTCCAACGCTGTAATTTTTACCAGTTAACCTTCCCAAATTCCAACCCACAGGACTGATTATATCCTGGGGTGGGTTTTAGTCATTCTTGCACCTCAACACTTTAATTCCAACATTTGAGTACATAAAAAAACGAAAGAAATGAGGTGTAAGTGCCAGTAGAGTGACATAGGAGGTTTAAGTGCCTGTAAAGCTCTGCTCAAACCATATTCCAAGATCATAAGGAATTTTACTTATTTACTGCAAAAATCCATAGATGAAGCAGTACCAGTCAATTTTAAAATAACCTTTTAATGTTAGAGATATATATATACATATAAACCCTATAAATGCTCCCCTACCCAAGGCTTTTTGAATATCCATAATCCTAAAAACAGGTACAAATTCCAAGCCTCTTTTTGTGCTCTACAACCTTAAATCCTTGTACAATTCTGAGAGTTTTCTTGTCAGGAAACTTTTTTCCCTGCTCCACATGTACCAAAGCCTTGAAAAATTCAAATTTAAAAAAAAAAGAAGCCATTTAAATGCAAAACACAAAACAACTGAAGACCTACAGTCAACAGTAGCTCATCAGGGACATAAATATTTGAATATATGAAGAGGAATTCTTGCTAAGAACACAAGACAGGAATCTTTCACTCTGTGTCAGCTTGAAGGCTACTACCCCAGCAGATAGGAAAAAAAAAAATCCAGTATATCCAGCCCAAAAAGTTGGGAACATCTCAGAGAAAATTTCCAGTGGCAGCTCTGCTCCATGGTGATAACACCACAAGGGAAAATTCCAGGTTTTGCAAGGAGAAATGGAAACACTGGGATGTGTGAAAGAAGCATCTGCCTTGTTCTGTGTAAAGCACCTTAATCTTCTGTGTAGGTCTGTGCAATTTCTTATCTCTCTCCAAACACACTTATTTTGTCTACACTTCTTTGGCTTCCCCAGTATTTATAAAAATCTGTGAAAAAAAGCCTAAAACTGCAAGATCTGCTGATCTTCCTGCACTACAAAGGAATCTGGAGACTCATCTGTTTGAAATCATTGGTTTTCCACAGAACTTCAGCAAAGTATCCAACAGCACCAGAATTCCAGACTGGTTTGGGTTGGGTGGGACTCAGATCACCCAGTGCCACCCCTGCCATGGCAGGGACACCTCCCACTGTCCCAATGTCCAACCTGGCCATGGGCACTGCCAGGGATCCAGGGGCAGCCACAGCAAATCTGGGAATTCCATCCCAATATCCCATCCAGCCCTGTCCTCTGGCAGTGGGAGCCATTCCCTGTGTCCTGTCCCTCCATGCCTTGTCCCCAGTCCCTCTCCAGCTCTCCTGGAGCCCCTTTAGGCTCTGCCAGGGGCTCTGAGCTCTCCCTGGAGCCTTCTCCTGTCCAGGTGAGCACCCCCAGCCCTTGGAGCATCTCCTTGCCCTCAGAATCCCTCCCTGTGCCCACCCTGCTGTGCCCAGATGTGCCCACAGGAGTTGCCAGCTGTGATTTCTGGGCTCCCTTCCCCTCCTGGCTCTCCCAGGCTCCCTCAGAGGCTGCCCCCAGCACATCCCTGGACCTGAGCTCTGTCCCTGTGCTGCCCTGGCTGCCTCCACAACCCCCTGCAACTTCAGAAAAGAGAAAGAAAATTCCTTTCCTTCCTTTTAACTCCCCCTCCTAAGGAAGTCAGCAAGCACCTGCCCCTTGTACAAATGCCAGAGCACAGCAAATCAGGGTCTCACCTGCTGGGAGGGTGCAGCATTCCCAACCCTCTGCACCCCTTTAACCCCTTCCCGGGGTTTGGAACCAGCACAGCACCCAGTGGCTGCTCCAAGGCTCTGTGACAGCAGGGTGACAGCCCTGTCACCCCAACACCCTGCTGATGGCTCCAAGGTGTCCTGCCCCAAGTGCCAGCTCCAGTGGGGCACCACGCAGGGATTGATGCACTCCTGACAGCAGTGCCTCACATCTGCCCAGCCCTCAGCTCTGGGAGCTCCATCTGCTGCTCCTCTCCACCAGCAGGGATGGAGATGCTCCACGAGGCCTCTAATGTCACCCCCACAGTGCCACTGACACCTCCCAGCACTCCTGCAGCTCTGCCAGGCAGGAGGCACAGGATCCACACTCAGCCTCTCTGAAAATCCCCACATTTACCCACCCATCCAACAGTTTTGTTCTCTGTAACAGAAGCACACACATTTCTGCCTGGTGTTCAAGCTGCAGAGCTCCAGTGAATACCTGAACATCATAAAAGCAATTTCACAAGCTGCAAAAAGCCAATAGTAACAATTATGTGTTCTAAGAGCTCTCTAATTAGAGTCCAGAGGAGATGAAAGCAATAAATAATGAAAGAAAGGTTGTCAAGGCTTCTGAAAGGCATCCTCAAGCACACTTAACCCCACACTGGCTCATCCCCAGAGCTTCACCTGCCACCCTACAAACACAGACAAGAGCTGTGCTCTCCCCATGTCTGCAGAGCTCTGAACCTGAACCTCTGCTGCTGGGATCTCTCCAGTCCTTGCCAGGAAATTTTCCTTCCTGCATCTCAGGTGAACACAACCAAATCAATTTTTAGCTTCTTTTCTTTCCCCCCACCAAGGTATAAATTGTTAAAAAAAAGCTCATGTTCATCTGCCTTCCTGCAGGTCCTGCAAAGGAGTCTCAGGAAAAGAAATCTCACATTGCACTCCTGTAATCTGCAAACTCCCTATTTGTAAGAGCCCAGACAGCACATTCTGAGCCACAGCCTCCAACTGCCCATTTCCATTCAGGACAGATTCTTTAGCAATGAAATGAAAATACAGCTTTCCTGAAACGTGTAATATCCCTATTCTGTTATCAGATGATCCAGCCTCAGCCTCTCTACATCAAATATTCCTCCTCAGCTGCTTTATCCCCTCTATCTCTTTTTGCTGTGTGCTCAGCATGGCACCCAGAGCTCAGCCACACAAAGAACTGGGGGCTTGCACTCAGTTTTCCTGCTGGACTCCTCCAGGAACTTTTTCCACTGGCCCAGGGATTTCCCACTGTCTGTCTTTGCAACCACCTGAGCAGGAAGAGTCCAACTGTCCCCAAATCCCACCTCAAATCTCAGCCCTTTGATTGCCCCTCAAGTGATTCAGCAGGGCTGGGTCAGGGGATTCATCTCTTTTGTAAACTCTAGTTGGAAGCACAGGGAGAACTTCAAGATGCAGCTCAAACACACATTTAGGGAGTCTCTACAGTCTTCCATGATGAAAAGGATCCACTAACTTCTGTATCCAGCCTCCTCTGGACACCAAAATCTACCAGTCCTACAATTCAGAGCTTTTGCTCTTTGGTATCAGCACCATTTGAGGGCACAGCCCCTTTCCCAATTGCATGAGGCAGTGTTGCCAAAAGCAGATGCTGTTTTTAAAGAGGCACAAGAAAAGGTCTAAGGGATGAAAGGTGGAGCTTCCAGTCTCACTCACTACTAATTTGGTTTTCAGAATACATTCTAGGGCATAGGATCCTGTACTGAAGTTCTTGAACAGCCTCAGATATAAATAAATGCATCACTGTCATCAGCATCTTAAATATAATGCCTTAAAAACACCTTAACTTTATGGTTATACAAGTTAAAAAAGCCAAATATCACTGAACCCAAAGTAAGTTCTCTTTTTAAAATAAAAGTGATGTTTTTGAAGCAATTAAAGGTTGGACTCCATGATCTTGGATGTCTCTTCCAACTTAAACAATTCTAGGATTCCATAAATTTACTTGTTCAAAGAAATTTCTTTACCCAGTCACAAACCCTTCAAGCAAAAGCACCAAGAACGAGCCTTGCTTGAAGCAAAGGCAGCTTTTAAACACAAACACAAGCAAATATTTCCCTGCCTGCCTTATTGTGGTTTGGGATGCACAACTGGAGATGTGGAAAGCACAAACCTTCACTATGACAGTCTGGTCAGAGTTGCTGCTCATCATCTCATTGATGGACTTAAAGAGCTGCAGCAGAGACTCCCTGAAGTCTGCTTCTCCTTTGTTTTCATACAGCCTGAAAGAACAATTAGGTTTCATCAGCACAAATCACAGTGGAAATACTGTTTAAAAAATCTGGTGTGTTTTTTTTTGATAATCAAATGACAGACTGCTAGTTGTTGTCTTACATTTTTTCAAGAATTTCTACAACCTTCTTTCACTGAATCAAGAGCTTTCTTCCACCAAAAAAAAAAAAAAAAAAAAGACACTCAAGACAAGACAGACTGGCCAGGCTGAGCCAGCAGGAAGAAGAGATTTTTATTGTGAAGTTGTCTTTGTGAAATGCCACCTGCAGCAGTGCTGGATGAATCCCTGAGCTGTGCCCCAATTCCCTGTGCCCACGCAGCCCTGGGACAGCCTCTGCACCCTGCAGATGTCTGGCAGGACCCTTGCCAGGCAGCTCTGTGATGATGAAGCCAGAAAGCAGCCAGACAATGTGCCAGCAATCATTAAAATCCACCAGTGGCCTAAGGTGGGTGACCTTAAACTCTGGGAAAGAAAGAAAAAAAAATTAAAAAAAATCGACCCTCTTTTTGCAAAAAAGATGCCTTTTTTTTTTTTTTTTTCCTGTGAGAAGGAAGCACTGAGGTTAAATTGTTTCAGCACTAATTTCAGGCTCAGTTTCCCATGGAGTCAGCACAGTGACACAGAGCAATGACTCAGCCCCAGCTCAGCTCCAGGAGCAAAGTCCCTGTGCCTTCAGGCAGATCACTCAGAGCTCAGCTGCCACTGCCTCCCCTCTCAGAATCCTTCAGGGGGTAAAAACTGCACAGAGGAACCTGAGCAACACCACAGGCCAAAAAAACACAGCCAAGGTGAAGAACTTGGGCCATTGGTACCACGAGTGCTCCTGGGATTCTCTGGAGTGTTTTAAATGCAGACCCAGCCCTGCTTCAGGTGTGGGATGGAACAATCCTCACTGGAAAATGAGAGGGAGACAACAACACCATCCTTGAAAACTCTCCCCTCCTCGGGCAGGACATGGGACTCACCCACACCGGGGTTATTCAGACTTAACATCACCCAAAAAAAGGGATCTGGAATCCAGATTAAATCCAAACGGGGGGAGTTACATCACATGGGACCTCAGGCCAGGCTGGACAGGGCTTGGAGCAGCTGGGACAGTGGGAGGTGTCCCTGCCATGGCAGGGGTGGCACTGGGTGAGTTTAAAGGTCCCTTCCCACCCAAAGCATTCCATGACTCCCTCCCCCAGTGAAACCCCATCTTGACCCTGTCAGCTCTGCCTGCCTCCAGGAGCCTCATCCAACAACAGCAACCAGGCTTCCAAAGGCCTCCCTGGGGCCACTGGCTCTGATCCCCCAAATACCTGGCACCAAGACCCATCAGAGCAGCTCCCAGCAGGAGTTCAATTCCCTTCTACCTTCCTCCATTTTATCCTGGAATTAAACCCAATAGGAATGGATTCTGAATGTATTCTGTGTTCTTGAATGTAGGCTGCAGCTCAGGAAGAGAATTTCATGCAGAAATTTGCTATGTACAACCTTTGTACAATTTCTTCACGTTTCAAAATCTCATGGAATGGTTTGGATGGGAAGGGATTTTAAATCCCATCAAGTCCCACCCCTGCCCTGGCAGGGACACTTTCCACTGTCCCAGGTGCTCCAGCCTGGCCTTGGGCACTGCCAGGGGATCCAGGGGATCCACAGCTGCTCTGGGCACCCTGTGCCAGCCCTGCCCACCCTGCCAGCCAGGAATTCCTCCCCTATATCAAATCTAGAGCTACATCATGATGGATCACATAGTGCAGCTGGAAACAGGTTTTTCTGGGTATAAACACAGAGTTCAGGATGCTCCTGCTGTTTTACACTGAAGTTAATGTGTATCATTTTTAATGCTGTGCTCATAAACCTTTGGAAGCCCCAGATATGAAAGAAGTTTATTTTAACCTGGACACAGAGGAAATAAATACTACAAAAAAAAATAAAAACAACCAAAAAAAAACCACCAAAACACTGAATTGTGTTATTTTGCTGTGCACACTTCTATTCCCCTTTTAGGCTAAAACTGGGGGTTATGCAGGATAAAAAACTTGTTAAGTCCCCATTTCCATAATGGATTTCAGTGTCCCCCTGAACAGATGAGAGAGGTGAAACTTATACAAACAGAAAGAGTAACTGAACTTGACAGCCCAATAAATCAAAGCGCTTCAGACAAAAACCTCTGCCTTTCAAAAAGGAAGTTATAATAAAAATAAGTTAGTCACAAATGTGTTCCTACTGTCAGTTAATAACATCTATTTATTTAATATACCTGATAAAGCACAAAATCTCTGCAGTTGTGAGAAAACAAGGTTTATACCAGGTTGGTCCTTCCAGCACTGCCTGGAGGATTTTAAGACTGTAGTAAATACACCACAAGCACTGGGACCATTACTGGGGAAATCAAATAAAGATATTTCTAAAGGTCACTTGTAATATTTTGCCTTTATCGACCTTTACTGTAGTGAATAAATAGATGTGCCACCATACTTTAAGTGGATGAAATTCCATGGATTTCCCCAGAACTCAACTGCTAAAATGCTCCACCCATCGAGCCCACCACCCTCTTCCTGAAATTAAAAATACACCAGATTTTGGAATAAAAGCTTCAGCTTGCTGCTTGTGATTCCTCAGCAGAGCAGCAGCAATGGCTCTGAGCCCTGCCACACTCCTGCATTTTAATCACTCCAAATCACACCCCCCAGGCAGGGCTTCAGTCCTGCAGCACAACAAATCACAGGCTCCTTCTGCATTCTGTAATTTTGCTGATTAATCCCTTGGCATGGAGAGCTGGGTCTTCCCAGCACTGAAAAGCTGTGAATTCGTGTTTCCCACAAGGAAATCCCACAGCCAGTCCTGGAGGGTCAGGCTGTCTGTAAATCCAATCTGCAGCCAGAGGGAATTTTTTTTTTTTTTTTTCCTGTTTTCAAGTGATTTGTAGGGCCTGCTACAGCCTCAGTGACATCCAGTATTTTATGAATCTCACAGCAGGGCTCCTAGAGAAATAAATTCCAAGCCCTAAATTAGAGAAAAGGGTGGTGGAGATGGTAACTGAAGAGCTGTACATAAATCCCTTGCAATAAGGTTGCTACCACTGCTAACAAGCAGTAAAAGACTCAATCTAAGTGAAGCTCTCATCAGCTTGGTTTATAACTTCTGGAACATCTCGTGTATAAAACACAATACAGCAACAGAAGTTTCCCCAAACAGTGCCAAGATTTAATTGTTCAGAGACCTAAACCATCATGATTTTACCAATTCACTGCTACTGAAAACACAGATCCCTGCTAAAGAGGGAAAACCCTGCTCCTGAAATAACTTCCCACAGTTTGCAAGCATTTCTAAAATAGTGCAATGCTCAGCAATTTGAACTGATGCTCTGTAAAATTCTGGCAGTTCTGGGGCATTTATTGGCAATGGAAGTTTAAGCACAGCCTGTACTCACTGGTTGAACAGAATCCTGGAGCGGACAATGAACTTGAAGATGTATTCCAAGGCTTTCATGGCTTTGAAGAGTTGATCAGTGATCCCACACTTCTCAGCATTGTCCACGTATGTTTTTAAAACCTTGGTCAGTTTTCTGTTTAAATACAAAAAGACCCATGTACAAGTTAAAAGTATTCTCAGAGAATTTCCATTTTGAAAGGTTTAAAGAAAAATTACGTGCCCATAGAGCTACAAAATTAATTCTTCAACTAATAAACCAATTGTGATTTTGTTTTGCTGATAAGTAGATGGAACTCACTCTTGAGCAAAAAAAAAAAAAGAGAAACCACAGACCATAACCTCATTTAATACACAAGCAAACAACACATCTCAATAAGGCTGATTTTCTGATATTATCTGAATATTTTCAGATAGATATTCAGTTTTAGGCTCTGAGAAAGATACACCTACTAATAATTAGAATAATAAAAATAATTATATTAAATATAAGCATGCTGTTAGAACTAACACAAAGTATGAGTTTTCTTCATTCAACAAGGTTTTCCCTTTAGAAAGCTTCCCCATGGATTTTGAGCTAAAATTTGCAATATTTATTTCTCCAAGTACACACCACCAGCTGGAAATTCTCTCCTTCCCCATTTTAAAGCCTATCACAAACTCAAAAGTGAAACAATTTTCAAAATAATCCCATTTCAGCTCCCTCCCTTCCAATGAATATAAATCAGGGTTTTAATGCAACCACGAGCAATTCCATTTTAAATCATCCCAGCTCCAGTGCATGATCCAACATCCCCACTCCAAGTAAACAAGCTCCACATTATTCCCACTAACAGAAAACAACACCCAGCTCACAGAGCTCCTGCTGCCTGGGGATTTGTTGGAGCAGGAACAAACTGCCTGAGAATTTCAAGTAACCACTTCAATATTGCTAAGGCCACCTCTCTTTACTTCAGAGCAACAGCTGAAGGTTGGGCTGGCTGATCTTGGAGTTCTTTTCCATGCTGGATGTTGTGTGTATGAAAGGCAGGAGAGGCAGGGATCTGTCACATCCGTGGGGACACTTCAAGGCAGAATTCAGCTCCTCCCTGTTTCTGCCTCGCTGCACTTGAGGAAGGGAAGGATGCTCTGCATGCCAACCATGAGAGGAGCACCCTCAGCTTTTCCTGAGAAATCCAGGATGCTCCAACCCTCTCTGCTCACTCACACAGAGCTGCAAACAGCAGCAGCAACTCAGGGATCCAAATATCAGCAGTGAGACTGCAGGCTCAAATCTTTGGGAATTCAAGGATTAGGAAAAGGTTCATCCCCAGAGGGTGCTGGCACTGCCCCCCAGGGAATGAATGGGCACAGCCCCAGAGCTGCAGGAGTTTGGACACTGCCAGGGATGCCCAGGGTGGGATCGCTGGGGGGGTCTGTGCAGGGACAGCAGCTGCTCTGATAATCCTGGTGGGTCCCTCCCAGCTCAGGATATTCTATGATTTTATGATTCTTCACGATTTTAAATCAGAATTTTCAAACATTTTCAGGTTCCTTAACAGAGACTCTGCATCAGCAAAGGGCACCCCAGGTTTCCTGGTTTGGGTTTGCCTTCCTCCCAGCACTGCAAAGATATCCATTAGATATTTTTCCTCCAAACCTGACAGTCTGACACAGCAGCAAAGATTCCAACAGTCAAAAAATACTCAAGACAATAAAATAATGGGCCTTTGGTTTTTTTGTCCTTCACTGCTTCTTCCCCACATTGACAGTAATGTGGATAATGGAGGGTACAATGTAATTTAAGGCATAAAAAAAATCCTCAGTATTTGAAGCATCTTAAATGGACACAATTTCCTTCCAATATGAGTGAGAATTGCTTTTGTTTTCCTTACAAAACTCCTGAAATTGTCAAATCATCCCCTTCTTCACTACAGCACAATCAAGGCTTCTTGCACAGGACTGCAAGTTTAACCAATTTATTTCAAGAAAGAAACAAAGACTATCCCCAGTCGTCTTCAAGACCCTCCCAAGCTCATGGGCACATTCCTAATCAAGCTCCATAAACAAGTAATTAAATAACAATACCTGGAAAAACTCCCCAATCCAATAAGGAAAAGTAAATTTTCCAACTCACGTGTAGGCCAAGGTAGCACTGAAATGCTTCTTGATGTAGGTCTCCAACACAGGGTTGAAATGTTGAAATTTTCTGTCAGCAATCAGTCCAATGATAAATACCTAAAAAACCAGCATAATTAGTGTGTTATTCTCAAAAAAATCTTTAATTTTTGTCCATTCCCCTTTCTTCTCAGAGAACACAGATTACTGACATGAAAATTTCTGTTCTGCCTCTGTCCTAAATGCTGCTGTTATTCCATTAGAGTGACTGGGTCTGAGTGCTTCCTTATTTTCTAGGAGGATGACATGCCATAATCCAACTCTCTCTAGACATGAACCTTTAAATATAACTTTTAAACTAAATAATAACTCTCAGCTCAGATCTTTTCCACTAATAAACTTTATTTTATCATTTATTCCCCATTTTTAGGTACATTTCAGACCCTCCCCACTGCAAACTCACCAAAGCATCAAACACCAAAGTGTCAAAGGTCTCACTCTCTGAGTTCTCCATCATGATGTTAAAAAGGGCATCCAGTGTATCTTGAAGAAACTACAAAGAAACAACACAGCTCATCATGTTCTCAAAGGAAAATTAAATTTAGATTCCACACAGGTTTCTACAGATCTTTTTGCTAAAATAAAAGCATTTTAAAAGTTAGCTCAAAAATGGAAAATCCAACAACAATTTACTTTTCAGCAAATGAGTTTTAGTAAAGTTGATTATCAAATGGAAAATCCAACACTTTTCTTTTCAGCAAATGATTTTTAGTGGAGTTGATTATCTATACACAGGTTATCACTCCAGAACAGAAAAAATGAAGTCAGAAATCACACTTGGCACACCTGGACAAGGACTTCAAACTGTGACAGTGCTCCAGCAACAAGAATTTCCAAACTGCAGCTTCACCACACTGCAGATCAAACTGCAAGATCACCACCAGGCCCATGCACTGCTGAGAACTTGGATGTTTCAGAGCAAAAACCACACAAGCAACTGAGTCTCATGCCAAGGAAAGTGGGAGCTGAGCCATGGAAGGCACTCGGAGCATCCCAGCTCAGATGCACAATCCCAGGTGGGCTCACACATGCAGGCATGGGAACAGAGCACCCCACTGCTGCCCCAGCCCCAAACCTACACAGGAAGGTCTTCACTCCCCTGGCTGGGCACCCCCATCTGTGCAACACGAGAGGAAAAGCAGATTAGTGCCAGGGGGTTCCAGTCAAGGACAGGGACAAAAGCTTCCTAATTCCAGGAGTTCTTCCCTGAGCCAGCCAGGAATCCAAGCACTGCCACAGGTACTCATCGTGTCTGCTGGAATGGGATTGTGTCTGAGCAGCTCCTTCCTCCAGGGCACAGCCAGGCTGGATCACAGCTCAGTTTGGGTTGAGAAAGAAGGGGTTAAACGTGGATGGTTCCAGCACATCTGTCTCAAACCATCCCAGAATGGTTTGGGTTGGAAGGGACCTTAAAGCTCACCCAGTGCCACCCCTGCCATGGCAGGGACACCTCCCACTGTCCCAGGAATGTCTAACCTGGCCTTGGGCACTGCCAGGGATCCAAGGGCAGCCACAGCAAATCTGGGCACCCTGTGCCAGCCCTGCCCACCCTCACACAAAAGTAAAATGAAAAAAAAAAAGTTTTTGCCTTGTAGATGAGACAGGGTGTAATTGGGGAAGAACTTCTCAACAAGCAGAAGGGAATTGATCCTGAGATTGCAGCTACAAGAGGCATTCCACATCGTGTGAGAGGCATGGAAAACCAGCCTGACTCCCACCTTCCTCCTCTGAAGGTGTTCAGCTGTGCAATGAGTGTCCTGGATCAAGCCTGATTCAGCTGATCTCCTAAATCTACAGTCAAATGTCAGGAATTAACCCCCATTCACAGCTGAATGTGAAACTCCTTCAACCAAGTGAACACAGTCACAGTTTGTGCTGCTGAGGATGAAAAGAAAAAAAACAGAAGAGCCAAAATTCTTGCAGCTGATCTTAGTCCAGTCCTGGGGAAGAGCCAGCTCGTAATTTCACTACGAGGGCAAAAGGAAAACATCACCTTCTCACAGCCTTACTCATCCCATTAAAGAAGATGTGCAAATAAAGCACATTAAAGGCTGGACTCGATGTTCTAAAGGTTGAACTCTGTGATCTCAGAGGTCTTTTCCAACCTAAATGGTTCTGTAATTCTGAATGATTCTGTGCCTGCTGCCAGCTGGCAGGGAGGGAAGTGCAAAGCACAGTTTTGAGCCTTGACAGGAGAAGTTTCTCTCTTGGTCTGAACAGAAGCTGCACTCTTGGGTCACACACACTGAGTCCTCTGGAAGCCAAAGGAGGCTGGGGGGGCTGATCAAGCCTTGATTTCATATTCAGGCACCTCAGCCTGACTTTCATTAGCAGAGTTCAAGTTTTAAATCTGTTCACCAGGACTTGGTGTAGCAGCAGGAAGAGCACAGCAGAGATGCTGCTGCTGTGTGAAGGGGCAGGACATTTCTCAGGTAGCATGAATAATTCCTACACTATTAGTTTACATTCTCATACTCCACAGACTCTGCACAAATGGAGCCAGAGCCTCTGGGGAAGGGAGATAACATTTACAGCTTCCACACACTGTGGGAACAGGCACAGAATGGGTATCTGAGCTCATCTCCACTCAAATAAATGAATACCAGTAGGCCCAGGCCTTTTACTGGGAGTTTTAAAAAACAGGCAATGGCTTAACAAAAAATATGAATGTGTTTTATCACATCAAGACTTTTTTTTAAAGATATCCAGACTGCATTGGGTATTGTAGCTAAAAATAGGAAGGGCAAAGAAAGCTGGAAGAACAGAAAGGAACAGTTACAAACCAGATCCTGCAGCAGAGCAGGCTCCACAAAGATGGAACACTGCTGCAACAGCTGGACAATGTAAACACTGGCCCTCTGAAAAAAGAATAAAAATGGTGGTGGAAACAATATTAAACACTCTGTCCTCTGCACGATTCCAGTTGTGCTCAGTGAGCAGGGAGAAGGGAGTCTCATGGAGCCCTGAGCCTGGAGAACTCCCTCCAAAACTGCTTTTCCTCAAAGCCCAGTTGTGGTGCATCCTGAGGAAATCCCTGATCCCCACCCAGCAGCCATGTGCCAGCACTGTGGGATGTCACATTTGGAGAGGAGGGAGAATTCCAAGTGACAGAGCCATGGCAATGCCTGACAGGAGCCAGCACCACTGTGGACACACACATTTATAGAGCTGGGGAATTCCAGCTTGGGAATTCTTTCCAGGCCTGGATTTCTCCTAACTCTCAGCTCCATTCCCAGGCTGACAAGCTGACTGCAGCTTCAGTTAGGGAGGAGTCTCCCAGGGTGACAACACGGTGACAAACAGAGTGGAATTCATCACCAACATTAACCCCTGGTGTCTTTCCCGTGGGACACATCCTGAGGTGCTGTCCCAAGGATGTTTTTCCCAATTGTCCAATGAGCTCCTGTCCTGTCCTGGCTGCACTGACACACTTTCAATCCGGGCTGGCTGTACAATAAATTGGCTTTTTTCCCCAAAAAAATCTGTGTGTGCTGCTGTCCTTTCTCTCTCTTTGCAGTAACCACACACCACTGGCAAGATTCTGCTCTCCAATGAGCCAGGACAAAACCACAGCAAGCAGAACCTTCCCAAAACACCAATCTGTGAGACCCCACTCTCCAAGGATGACAACATCAGCACTCCCAGGTGCTTTATGTCACTTCAAGCTGAGGTTTCATTATGCTTCTATGAACCAACCAAAAATCCCCTGAAGTAAGGAAACAGCTCTCCAGGGTCACCTGTCCCCAAGTACATCTTTTGACACTCTTTCAGATTTGATTTATTACAACACCTTCAATAAAGTCCCAGCCTCCTCTTTTGCACAGCTAAATCTGTCTTTATGCAGCTCCCTGCAATCACTCAGTGGCCTTGGCAAATGTAAATAACTTGGCTCAGCTAAATGTTTCCAGAAGTATTTTTTAAAAGAAAACAACAGCAGCACACACTAAGATGAAAAATATATTTAACATCACCATGTAAGACTTCTGAGATGGTCTAATCTTGCAAAGAAAAACATCATTTCTTCATGTATCTGTACATAAAAATTCACCCAAGGGCTAGGAAAAAAAGCAATTTAATTTTCAGAAATGTTCATTTTATGTGTGTTTTATCAGTTCTAAAACATCTTAAATGTTCTTGGAGGGAGGGAGAGGAGCATCAGCACCCTGAAGCTGGAGATTCCTGGTTGGAATTTAATGTGCAAGTGAGTGCAGCGAGATTGAGGGGAAAAGTGTGGGGAGCTAAAAGAGACACCTCAAAATCTGGGATTTTTACAGACATTAACTCATTACCTTGACCACTTCACCACCATCAACTTTCATCAGCTGCTTCAAGTTCTGGTGCAACAGGCTCGTGTTGGATCTCCACTTCAGCAGCCCCAAGAGATCAACTGGAATAAAAAAAACCACCAGCAATTATCCCATGCAGCCTATTTCCCTTTCCTCACTTCCCATCACCATATGCAGGACAAAGTTTTATTTCCTTACTTCAGCCTTTTTCCTGGGACAACACCACATTTCTGGTACCCTCTGACGCTGCAGAAAGCTCAGACAATCCTTCTACCCTGACAGAACTCGGAGAGGCTTTCAGAAAAGCAGCCAGCTTTTGAAATATCAGCAGGAAAATCTAGGCCAAGGAAGCCTCGGTTTTTAATTTGCTGTACACAACAGTTGTGTATTTAGAAAAAGATGCCAAAATGAAATTAGTCAGCCACCAACACAGTCATACTACAGGGCAGTGACTCTCCCAGCATTAATGTTTCCAGCTTCTCTGCTCTCACTGCATAAACTGAAAAGAAAATAAAGCACGATGGAGCACAGAGGGTTGCAAACTAAACGAGACTGGGGGAAAGCTGGGGGATGAATTATCCCCCCATGGTGCCCACCTGCCTGGCTGCTCCCAAGGGATGGATCCTGAGGGCACTGCCCAGGTCATGCAAAGTCTCATCCCCAAATCCTGCACCCTGAAGATGCTGTCACTTGAGCATTCCCTGGAGAATAAGGGAATACAGAAGGCCAGCTCTCTGCATTAGTCACTGCAAAGCTTCCAGGGAGGAGCTCTCAGCAGGGCTCTCCTGCACAGCACGAGCTCCCTGGGAAATCCCAAGCCCAGCACTGACCCCAGAGCCCAAACCCCACACTCCTCCTGCCTTAGCCAAAGCAGCCTCAGGGGGAAATCCCTGCCCGTGCAAAGTCACTTTTCATCACAAAACAAAACTGGCACTAACTCCTGCTCAGGAGAAACCTTCAATAAAAAACTGAACTCTATGATCTTAAAGGTCTTCTCCAACTTCAGTGATTTTATTTTACTCATTTAAAAACTCATTACCTTCAGTTTAGCCCACTACTGCACCTCATCCACCTCCCCATATAACTTATACAGAAAATTCTACCCAAAATAACTCCAAACAGGCACTTTCTCCCAACAAATACCCCCTCACCTCTTTGCTATTCACACTTCCAAAGCAACCAACACAACATTTACCAAGGCATGAATCTGTAGAGTTTATCCTGGAAATTACCTGCAAAGACTCAAAGCAGCTGCTATGCTTTTCTCAAACATCTTTCATTCTAAGTAATAAATGAAATTACTTCTAGTGGAAAGGACCTCAGTACTGCTTGGAAAGATTCCTCTCTGAGCAGCATTCAAACCAAACCTTCTCACCATCTCTTTGTGAAGAGAAATCAAGAGAGTTTTACTACATTAAAGCCTTGAATCCAAGCCCTCCATTCCTTTTAATACATCCTACAAGAAGTCTATAGCCTGAACCCAAACTCTCACTAAGTCAGTATTAACAAAAAAAAAAAATCACTTCTGGAAGCAAAGCAAAGATGCCTCCGTGAGTTATCCAAAGTGTTTCATGGATATATTTATATCAGCTTTTCCACCCCTGAATTTGGCTGCAGTCTGACTTCTAACAAGGCATCAGCTTGACAGAAGAAATGATCTGAACAAAAGCCAGCCCACAGACGAGCTCTGAACAGCATCATGGATTGCCCCAAGAAAACAAACCCACGTGGACTGGCAGCGTGATGGCAGAGCAAATGCTAAATGAATATACATTTGTGAGCACAAAATGTCAGTGCAGGCCAGCTGAAAGGGGAAAATAACTTACAGGGTAGAGAAAAATGGGCACTCCCTGGTAATGCAAGCATTAATTAACCCCAGCAAAGCACCAGTCAGGCAGTTAATCCCACTCCTTTCACAGGGCTGTGTGTAAAATAATGCAGTACAAGGATGGAAAACAGTGTTTTAGCCTACAGGAAACAGGAATGCTGGAGCCAGCCCAGGTCAAGTGAAATTTGAGGCTAGAAAACATCAGCAGGAAGACAGAATGAGGTTGCCCAGATTTGCTGTGGCTGCCCCTGGATCCCTGGCAGTGCCCAAGGCCAGGTTGGACATTGGGGTTGGAGCACCTGGGACAGTGGGAGGTGTCCCTGCCACATCAGGGGGTGGCACTGGATGATCATTAAGGTCACTTCCAACCCAAACCAGTCTGGGATTCTGTGATTTCCACTGTACAAGGTTTGAACTGCAAAGTCCCCGACAGCAACTTGGCTTTACTGATGTGATTTATTATCCTATGGAATGCAGATGAAGACTTTCTTTCACAGGATATTTAAGTGGAAGGAAACACTCCAAGTCTCTGCCTATCTGCTTTCCTTAACCTGTATCTATGCAAAAGCTTCCCTATAGAAACATCCAAACTTTTCTCCAAGTCCAGCCACTGAATTCAGTTAGATAGTATTTCCCCTCTGAATTCCCATCTGTTCTTTGAAATTCTCTGCCTTCTTGACTTTTATATTTGATTTTCCAGTCTGTATGATTTTTATTTTCATTACATGCTTATACCTTCACTTTTTACACCACTACAATTTGTCATATGTGTGTTGGGTTTTTAATTATCAATTATGCTAAGTCAAATTCTTCCCAAGTGTTCTCCACAATCCTGATCTCCCTGGTTCCTCCAAGTCCTGACTTCATTGAAGGAACAACCACTATAATCCAGAGATTTGAGTCCTTCAAGGAGAAAAGAAAACAGAAATTCTCGGAATAAGCCTTAGAGGTGCCTTGGATGCTTCCAAGAGCAAAGCCACAGGGACAGCAGAGCCAGCTCTCTGCTTATTGATCACTGAACATTTCCCACTAATGCAATTCCAGTTCTGTCCCCATCACCCTGATCATGAAAGGACATCCTGCAAGTCTGGGAAGAGGCACCAGGAGGATTTTACCTCCACAGGCACTGAGGGGTTTTTCTCCTCCTCTTTGTCTTACTTTGCCACTCTTCTTCAAAATTAACTGCAAAATGCAGGGAAGGGCCAGGGAATGTCCTGCTTTAATAACTTCTGCTCCAATCACTAAAAACTGGTCAAGTGTTAACTAAGATACTTACACCATCACTCTCAAAGTCTCAGCAGTGGGCAAAGTTGTTATTTTGAAGACTTTTCTGTGCTAAGGACATCGATTACTGATAGAAAAGCAACATTAAAAACTCACAGTTCATAGAGAACTGAAGTCAAGGGAGTGTTCAAAGAGCTCAGACACAAAAAAGTCTCTGCACCATCAAACAGCAGAAAAAGCCAGATGACTTATTCACATACTTTCAGAATTACTAAAGATAAGTCTTAAAGCCAATTCTAAGACAGTTATGGAGGGTAAAGAAAGAACTATTATAGGTAACCAAAAGGAGAAAAGTCTGTTTTGGTTCAACATTTTTGTAAGTGAGGATAATAATGGATTTTTATTTACTTGTTTTTAAGAAAGTTAAAGGAAGACAATTAACCAAACATTTTACAAACCTTAAAACCAGCTTCAGAAATCATCATATGAAAAGCACTGCCAATTTTTAGATGGAAACTGATACTTGAGGGAGGAATTTAATGATGATTTTTTTGTTTTGTTTCTTTTCTGCTCAACAAGACATGATGATCTTGCTTAATAATGTCACAGTACTTTGAAGAGAGAAAAGACTTTGGCAACTCTAAGGAAAAGTTTCCCAGACAACATAATTAACAGCAGCATTAAATAAAGATCAGGCCTTCAAAGCAAACAGTATGTAAATTAAGCACCAAACAATGCTCAGGCTTAATTTTAATAGCAGTTCTGTGAAAGCCACATCAATATATTGATCACTGGGAAATACTTTTAACTACTAACAAGCACTAGGGAAGGCTGAAAGGAAAAACAGCACCGACTTTCCAACAAAAAGCAGTTTAATTCCAGATGTTGGATCCTGCTCTCCAAGCCCTGGCTCCAGCGTGCTGCAATTCCATCTTTGCTGGGAAATCCTACAACCACATCCCAGTTTTGTTGGTTTTTATTTTTTTTTTTGCTGAACACCCTGGCAGGCTCCAAGGCTGCCAGACTGCAGTGGATGTGATGTGCTCTGCATGTGAAACAGGCGGGATGAGCTGGGAGATGCCACTGGAAAACGCCGCAGTGACTCCGGGCTGGCCCCGGAGTGGCACCGGAGCAGGGACATGCCCTGGCCAGAGGGGACTCGTCAATGTGGCAGTGTCATCGTGATCCCATCCCCACACACCATCCTGAGTCACAGCAGCTCCCTGGAATGACTCACTCCCTATGGAATGACCCTCCCACACTCCCCACTCGCTGCCGGTGCAGCCAGGAGAACAAGGCATCGCTCCATGGCAACCGAGCACAGAAATTACACACAGGGCACAGCCTGCAAATGGGAAATATTTGCTTTGGTGGCTGCCACCAGCTTGCCACAGCCTTGGGATGCACTCAGCCAGCTGACAGACGGGAAGAATGCATGGAATGCAAGGTTTAAAAGGAACAGACAAAGCCAAGGCCACTCCTGGGAAGGTGTGGGAATATGAGTGACCTCCAGGCAACACATCCTCCCCTAACATCCCTTCTGCACACCAGAAGAAAACATCAGAGCTGTCTTCAGCCCTGAGACAGGGATATTGCACCTTGGAATAACATAAACCAGCTTGTTTGGGAGCAGAGCCCTGCTATTACCTACTCTTGAAAGCAAACTCTTCCCCTTCCTCGGTGCTATTTTTCAAGGAAAAAATAAAATGCCACAGTTACACAGTTACAGTGCACTTCAGGGAAACAACCTCAACTACATGGGAAACAAAATCCCTGGTTCCACTTAACTTGGGATTCTTTTGTCTTTTCAAGACTCTGGAGCAAAACAGAGCAAAGCTGGATGGTTCAGACTCACCCACACAACCCTAATCCAGCACACAGGCAGCCCCAGGGAATGGGGATGGAGAAAGCAGCAAAGTCAGCACACAGACCCCAACCCTGCTGCGAGGAGCAGCTCTGGGAACTCACCGTTCTGGGTAAGCTTTGTGGAACACACCAGAGTGGAAATCTGGAAAGAGTCTTTGCTGATGGTGCAGCTCCCCAGGTTCTGCATGCTCTTGCCTGTTGCTGAGTGTCCCTTCTCCTCCAGCTCGATTTTCGTGGATGGCAGACTGAGATAGGTCGAGGCATCCTCCAGCTTCTTGGCTTCTGCCTACAGGGATGTTTGAAACACAGCAGGAGAAAATATCCAGTCAAAATTCTCTTATTACCGAGAATTTTAACTTTTATACTGGATGTTCTTAGGTTTGGAGCTATCAAATGCATCTTTAATACACTAATTTAGCACTAATCTGTCTACAGTAGAGCCAAAATGGGATTATTTAAAAGGCTACAGAATTCACTTTTCCCAACCCACAAAAAACTCAACAGCAAATAGCTTTGAAATTAAAACATATTAAAGGCTTAATACCCAATCTCCCATATAAAACAACTGCTCAGGACTTGCTGCTTAGCTTGATTTAACAGAAGAGCTCAAAATACATTTTCCAGTGCCATTCTGGAACAGAATTCCTCAGAAGTCAGTGAGTGGCACTTCCCTGTTGGGAAGTCAAAATTCTACCTTGTAAACGATAAGGTCGTGCTCTCCATCTCTCAGAGTTGTCCCATCATATCTCATGAGCTTCACAAATGCCAGAGCAAATATTTTCTCAGATTTATCTTTGGCTGTTACCAAAAAAAAAAAAGATAAATCACATAATTATTTCTACAGACAGGACACCTAAATCTCACAAAAATGGACAACCTGTCAGTGAGTGACCACAGCAAAGATTCTCATGTAAATTCAGTGTACAAAGAACTGAAAAAAAAGCAAGACAGAACCAAAAAATAAAAAAAGGCCAAATGAATACATCAACAGTAACCAGATGCTTCATAGTTCCATATTCTGTCTGTTCTTTTTGGAAAGCTTTACAAAGGCAAATTTTAAAAACAAAACAGAAATGTGATGCATTGAGAAAGCCCAGGTTTTTAGAAAAATGGTTGTGTTTGGGAGCTGGAATAAAGATTAAACACCAGCACTGAGGAGCTCATCAGAGCACAGAGCCCTGAGGACAGACATTTGGAGGGGGAACATTAGAAGCAAAACACAAACTGGATCCATAATTGCAGATGAAATGCCTCAGTTTTTTGAAAGCTGACCCATGCTGCAGCCAACAGGAACTAGAAAATACACTCAACTTATTCTTGCTCAAAACTGTTGGCAAAAGTTTAAAAAAAAAACAAAGCAACAGATGAAGGACAGATCACAGAGGAAGTTGAGAAGTAAAGCCAGAAGGAAAGTGTCATCACCTTGAGACAGGCCAAGGAGCCTGGGAGAAAGCCCTGAAAGGGGCTCTTTTTAATATTTAGGAATGATGTATTTTAAATATTTAGGCTGTGGCCAACCTAAACATTTGAGTCATTGTAAGAATATTTCTGACTAAAAATTTGTAGCACACAACTGTAATTCTGATAATGACACTGACTTTTAGAACACTGTTCTCCTTTAAAGAGTATCATTCTCTAGATTATTTTATTAATTTTCTTAATCCCAAAGTCTTCAACTAGTGATGCCAAGCCAACTGTAAACTTTCACATTCCCATTTGTTGGAAGATCTTTTCTACTCCCCACCTCTAAGATACAGAATACCACAACCCTCTGAGTTACTAATGGAAAGCTTTACTCCATTAGTAACCTAGGAAAAATTTTCATTTATTCCCTTTGGAGAAAAAACAACTGGACAGGGAAGGAAAAACTCAAGCACTAAAAGCCATGGCAAATGCTCAGCTCTGGATTGGGAATGTGGGGGTGCCAGCCCTGCCCCAGAATTCCCAAGGAGGGGCTGAGTTACTCACAGTCCTGCGAGGATCTGTGGCGGAAGGTGAACCTCAGGTGGCTGCGGTTCACGTCCTCGATGGGGATTGCAACCTGGAGCAAGGGGAGAGGAGCAAGGAAATGGTCAGGGCAGCACCCTCAGCCTCCCCCAAACCCACCCAGACACCTTCCAGCACTTCCAGATGATCAGTGAGTGACAATCCCAGTGGCACACCCATCCCCAGCAGCCCCTTTCTGTCTACAGACACAACAAGGCACCTTTGGAGCGAAAATTCTGAATTGAGGAGTAGCTCCAAGGCCCTTGTGAACACACAGCCCCTGCTCCACTGCTGGAAAGACTGAATGGATTCCAGAATGTCACCACCAACCCCCTCTGTAATCTCCAAACTCAGCAGTGGAAAGGTTATTACCCCAGCAAAATGAGCAGGCTTAAAGCACAACCAGCTCCCCAAACACTGATGAGTCCAGCACTATGGCAAATGTGTTTTAGCTTTAATATCCTGCTCTCCTCTAGGTCAGCTTCATGGAAATAGAGCAAACCATTCCTGAAGAGATGCTGGAGTTTCCCCACAACAGTCACCCTGAGCAATAGCTGAAATAAAATTCAATATGCAATAAAAGTCAAAGACTTTCTTAGCTGAGCTATTCCTTGCCCTGCTGAACACAGGCACTGAATTTCCCCAGTTTTGTTTCCCACTGAAAGCTGTATTAATGGCACATTAACACCCACAGAAGTTATTTTAACAGTTTAAATACCTTTACAGTCTCAAACCAGCGAGGCTGCTTTACTTGGTAATAGATCACTGACTTGTACTCTGAGATGGCTTCATCACCAGCACCAGGAAAAATGACACTCTGCAAAATCAAACAGAAGGGGAAGCATTTATGTCACTTCAACTCCACCTTTTCAATCAAATAAACAAAAAATAAATCAGCCAAGTAGGTCAGAATAAGAGAGAATGCTCCTCATGAAACTGGTATCAAAATGTATGCATTGATAAGGCAAGATGCATTTAATAATGACAAAAAGTTTGGTTGAAAATAAAAACTGGGACCTTAAGCTGACAAATACAGCTGTTGAAAGGGCTTAACATGATATGTATCAAAATCAAAAAGCCCCCAGACATTAAATACTTTAATACCTCTAATCTCTTGCCATCTTCATCATAAACAGATACTGTGACTTCCACATTCTTTGCTGTGGTTTTACTGCCCTTGTCAAAATCTCCCTGCACCAAGGTGACGTAGATGTCATTACGAACATCTCCTGCAAGGGAGAGCAAAGCACAAAATCACCCACAACTCTCACAGTAAAAACACAGAAGGACACACAGAAACAATGGCCAAACACTTAAAGCACCACATTCCCATTTACTTTATTTTTACACAACTTCTTTCAGTATTCACTTGAAAGGAACGGTTTCAACACAGTCATTTATCCCACACAAAATGTATTTTGCAATTTAGAATATTTTAACGGCCTACAAGAGGTCTCTAATTTGGTACAGCAGGAAGAAGTTTGCTGTTTTTGCTGGCTTGAGGGTTGCAGGGGAGGCTTGTACTTAGATTTATGATTAAAATGCTCCTCAGCTCCACCCCAATTCAACTGAAAATTTGAAAATGAGCTGGGGAAACAAAGGATTTCCAATCATTTTCGGAGCTAACACGGGATGCAAACAAGGTGCTGGGGCACTCACACTTGTAGAAGAGCCTGTAAAACATGTGACAGACATCTGTCAGCAGCCACAGGAACATCTGGAGCTGGGATGGGCTCTGGAAACATCCCATGGATCCTCCAGGGCCCATCAGTCTGCAAAGGACACTGCACGTTCTGCCCTTGCTCATGGCAGTTTTTATCCTGAGAGGCACCACGTTTTTGGGTTGGTTTTTATGGGTTTTGGTTTGGTTTTTTTTCTTTGTAAACACCTGAACTGAACGTGCACAGAGTACATGTATTTTAAAAAAAGATGATGTTGCTCTCTTTCAAATGCATTATCCAAATGTGGTACAAATCCTAGGAGAGCTATTATCTCTAAATCAAGCCTGGGCCTCAAAAACCTGCTTTGGATTCAGCACAGCAGAGAAGTTTCACATTTGCCCTTGCTATGGGCATAGCACCAAGTGTGTACTTTGTGTACATTCTTTTTAACTGGGGAAAGAAAAGGAGAATTTCCACTCTCACTGGAATTTCTTGTCTTCTTGAAGAGGTGGGAGCTTTATTTATTGATGCAGGTACCACCAAAATATTTTCCACTTATTTTCAGTGAGACAACATCTTTTGACGATTTGATTTTTTTTAAATGCACACCATACATACCTTAAATTCATCTACAATTATTTTTCCTCCAAAACATTCCATACATACAGACATTTAAAGCAGGTTAAAATATAACAAAGCAGCATTAATTAAGTGCCTCACCAGGCATGATAATCTCAGGAAAGCCCATTTTCCGAGCCACTGCTGTTGACCTGTCCACTAAGTGTGGAAACTCTTTCCTAATTTGATGGATATCTCCTGGAAGAAGTTTCAAAGTCACCCACAGACCTGTTGTGTAAAAAAAAACCACAATTATGAAACTGCTGGGATTTATTCTTAGATGCTACAGATTTCTTTTTACAAATTGAAAAACGTAAGAAGGTTAAAATAATTTAGGTATGTTAAGATAACTGATCTTCCTTTACTAAAAAAGAAATAGAAAATATTTTAAAACATTCCAAAGATCTCATCACTTCACACAAAAATATGAGTACAGTGCACAGAATTATTTCTGATTATGTTCCATGTTCTTTGTAATGAGATGTTTATCTTCCTTGGGGGAAAAAAAGAGAAGGAGCAAGGATGATTTGCATGGAAAAACCCAAGGATTCCAAGCAAGCAATACCAGCAGATCCATACCCCAAAACTGATTGATCATCACCCCCATAAGCAATTTTTACTGCTCTGAGCACACAAATCTAAGCATCAGCTTCACACAGCTGATATTTTCTGCTCAGCAGCAGAAGCCACTAAAAAGCTGCTGCTTGCCAACCAACATAAGGCACATTTGTTACAGGAAAAAAAAAAAAGCCAAAGTGAAAAAAAAAAAAACCAAAAATAAAAAAGAAACCCAACCCAAAGAAGCCTTCCACTCGCTGAAGTGGCTGGCAATCAAGTTAAAGCACAAAATAATCACAGCAGCAATTTGCAGAAGAAAAATCCTAAAATTAAAAGCTACGAAAAACACCCCAAAAATATTCATCCATGAAATAAATTGTGGGTTACCCTGTCAGAGAATTAACTGTACATTCATTTTGTGTACACTTGGCAGCTTGTCTTTCCCCTGATATCTCTGTCAGAGTTTCTGAGCTGAGTTGTTGCCAGGGATGGTTCTGACAGCTGCTATTTCACTGAGCTGCAACTGTACCTGCACTGACTGGCTAAGGAACAACTCTTGATCCTTTTGCTGTTTGCTTGGCTACTTTTTTTTTTTTTTTTTAAAAAAGGGAAGAATTTGGAATGAATCAACGACACTGAAATGTTTCCTCCTATCAGATACACACTGACCACGGGTGAAAACAAGCAGGAGAAGCAGATAAAACTTCCCCTCATTAGCTAAAGGAGAATCTAAAAATAAGGTTTATGTAAAACTCTGTTTGCTGTTAATTAATGTAAAAATCAGGGCAAAGTGTGTAGTTCTCCTAGGGTTTGGTCAGATATGGAGGGATAGATATTCACAGTGTTTGGTGGAAACTCTGTATTAATCAGCATAACTCCACAATAATCCAGAATCTCAGAAAATATTGAAGTTGGTAGAGGAATAACCAGGCACAATCACATCATGATCATGAGATGCCACACAAAAATAAATCAAGCCAGAGCAGCGCCCTAGAGAAGGTACCAGGGAAGCCTTCAGAGGGGTTCTGGCTCCCTCCTCACCTCCTGCAAGCTCAGATCTCTTGGGGAAGGAGTAAAATGCTGCAAATTCAGCTGCAGAGTGGAAAAATAAGGAGAAGGAAGAGAAGGAAGGGAATGTCCCTTCCTTCAGCATGGAGAGGCAAAAATCCACAGCTCAAGGGCACAGGAGGCGAGTCCTGGAGTCATCACCTCCACAGAAAAATCAGTCATGGGCAGGTGGGCTTGGATCTGGAGATGATCCAAGATGATCCTGCTCCAGGAGGAGCAGGTGACACAGGAATGTGTGCAGGTGTGTTGGCAATGTCTGCAGAGAGAAAACTCCACATCCTCCCTGGGCAGCTGTTCCAGAGCTCTGCCATGGAAAGAGGTTCTTCCTCATGTGGAACTTGTGTTGAATTTATGGCCACTGCTCCTCATCCTCTCGTGGGGAACCACTGAAAACAGTCTGACCTCATCCTCTGACACCCTCTGGATGTATTGATATGGAATAACGAGATTCCCTGTCAGTCTCCTCCTCCCCGGAGTAACCAAGCCCAGCTCCCTCAGTCTCTGCCCATCAGAGATGTTCAGACCCTCGATCATCTTTGCTCATCCCCTGGACCCCCTCCAGCAGAACTATGAAGGCATCCAGGAGCTGACCAATGCTGCAGAGTCCACACTGGGCAGGGGGAAACGATGGGGAAGAGCAGGCTGAGCCTTGAGACGTGGGGAAGGGAGGAACAAACCATACAAACTGTTTTTTAATTCCAAAATTAAAACCACCACGACACAGAGCAAACCAAGGTGCGCGGAAAGAGCAATACCTACCCTGACCCTTGTGGTTGACTTCTTTAGCAGCAATCACTTTGTTTATAACAGTCTGCAGGAAATCATTCTCCCCTGCCACCCTGGGTGAAAAACGGGATGATATGTTCAGCTGCTTGTGTCGAATGGCGTCATCCAACGCTAGCCTGGAGGATGCACATGACGACCAACACCAGGAGACAAAGGGGCACAGAAAACCAGAAGTCACAGTGACAAGGGAACACAAAAGATCGTATCACAGTTGTGACAAAGAGCATTTATTAGTCAACGCAGGACAAAGGACAGGAAAGGTAACAAGAAAGACAGAGGGAGATCATTAATGAGAAGAATGCTGATCTACCACAGAGAGTCCAGCACACTTGTGAGGGCTCTGCTCCCTCAGGGAGCAGGGGGGGGATCTCCCACCTGAGAGTCCCCAGTTAAGAAGTGAAAACCCACACAGGCAGTTCTCCTTTATATAAATATTGAAATATATATATATATATAGATTTATTTATAGCAGACTGGCCCTGCAACACCTCCAGGGTCACCTCTGTCACTCCACAAGTGGAGTGCCTGAAGGAAAAGCTCCCATCAATCTCACAGGGAAAAGGAGGAGAAGAGCAGACAACCCAAACTCGGTGAACAAATGAGAAGATGGGGACAATAAATAAACAGCAGCATCAGGTGGCATTGAAGTAAATCTTGCCAAGTGCTTTTGACAGCCATTGTGCTGGTGGCCAGTGAATGAATACAAACAAAGATATGAAAACAGAATTGCATGTGGTACAACAGAAACAAAGCATGGGATGAGGAGAAAAATGTGCCTCATATACACAGCCCAAGTCTACATTGGAAATAACACCACCAGCATTCACCCCGTGTTTGTTTCCACCTTATTCATATCCTTTGGGATGGACTTTTTCAGGAGAATGTTTTCATTTATTACAGGGGGGAAAAAGCAAAATCATATTGTGCATCTTTTTAAAGCTCTGTGTATATGTAACAGGAAAAATGAACCAGTGTTAATGGAGCAGAAAACTGGATGTTCCATTAGCACCCCCTCTGAAAGGTTCATTTTCATTGCACACTTCCACACTGGCTGAAAAACAACTTTGCTGTTGTTTACCACACAATAAACGTATCCTTCTCCTCCTCAAACTCTGTTTTCCTTGAAAAATGGAATTTTACTTTGATTTTGTCTTTAACAGCCCTGCAGGACCTGCACACTGCAGTCCTCTCACCAGCCCTACACCTTCAAACCACAAAGGCTTACTGAATTATGCCCATTTTGCAAAACAAAGTTAATTTAAGATTTTATTATATCAAGATTTTTTTAAAAATATCATTAAAAGCCCATCTGAATATCCATTAGTGTATTAATCAAGGAATTTAGCTCCCATAACTTATGTTTTGCCTTTTGGAACAGATGGCAGTCCAGCATTTCTCACTATGGGAAAACTAAGCATCCATACTTGATGACAATTTTTTTGCCTTATCCCTTCTACCTTTCCTCACTTCACAGAAGTAAAAACTTAGGATCTATGCATGGAACATGATCTCTATTGATCTCAGGCTGAGCTAAACCAGCAATGAACTTGCTTTAAGCATTTCACCTCTTACACATTCTCCCCCTGACATCTTGAAACAAGAAAGGCTGCAAACTGGGAATGCATGCTTTAAAATAAAAAAGTTTTCCCCTAAAGTTTCTGGGGATATCACTGTTGTAACTAATTGCAAATTATTCAGGGAAGATATATTAGCAACCTTACTAAGGAGAAAATATCCCATGGAAATAAATTAACTTAAAATTAGGGGGTTTTTTAATCACAGTTAATTTTTTTTTTCACTCCTGTTTGTTCTTGCAGCTGCTCCCTACTTACGGCTGGAATGGGATGAAGTGCTGCTTGTCCTCATCATCAACCTTCCCGTTAATGATGTCAGTAACATCCATCACTGCAAAGACAAACCAAGGGCACTGAATGAACTGAGCAACGTGGGAAGAGGGAACCCCCAGGGGAATTGAAGCATCAGTGACTCAGCAGAGGGCTGGAGTTCCCAACTGTGGAATTTCAGGATTGTCTATGGGATAACAGAGCTTTGGCATCTCAGCTAACACAAACCCTGCAAAGTACAGGATACAGCAACCCGTCTGGAATTTATCTAACCCCAGAGCAGTTCCAGGAGGCAATTTCCATGGAAGAACAGAGCAGGAGATGGGGAGGAGCAGCAGGTACCTGCCACCCCGAAGGGTCTGCGCAGCCCCGATGTCAGCTTCCTCGTGTTGTTGTCCCGCAGCTCCATCCTGCCCACACGCACGATCTGACACACAAAACTGATCTTCTCTCTTTTCAGGTCCTTGCTGCCCAGGTCCTACCAACAGTAGTAACATCAGGTTGCTTTCTAAAAGCTGAGTTTCAAGTTGCATTTCAGTAGGCAGAGGGTTTGCTGCTCAGAATTTGCCTTGGCTGTGCTCTAACAAAAAGTGCTCTCGGAGTAGAGCAGCTTTTGTAACAATATTTAAACATTTTACTGGAGTTCTGTGTAAATTAATTCTTCAGAAGGCCAAGCTAAAAGTTCAAAAATCCACTTTGTTTTTTCCCAGGTGTTGAGAATATTTAGCAGCCATTGGGTGAAATGTCTCATGTGAACCCTCAGCAGCACAGGATCATGGAATGGTTTGGGTGGGAAGGGACCTCAAAAATCACCTTGCTCCAACCCAGCAATGAGCACGGACAACTTCCACTATTCCAAGCTGCTCCAACTTGGCCTGGGGCACTGCCAGGGATCCAGGGGCAGCCACAGCAAATCTGGGCACCCTGTGCCAGCCCTGCCCACCCTCCCAGGGAACAATTCCTGCCCAATATCCCATCCATCCCTGCCCTCTGGCAGTGGGAAGCCATTCCCCCTTGTCCTGTCCCTCCATCCCTTGTCCTAAAGCCCCTCTCCAGCTCTGTTTCCCCCCTGCAGAGGTGCCCCAGGCTGGTCACACCCAGCCCATTGTCCCTGCCAGGCTCTGGGCAGGGCACACTCACAGTGAACACGGCTCGCAGGTTGTGCAGTCTGTCAATGTCCTTGGGGAGGCCACAGCTCGACCACCTCACCAGGTAGTTCTCACTGAAAAGAACAATATTTTGAAGACTTTTGTTTAAATCTTAGAGCAACAGAACCACAGAATGCTCTGGGCTGGAAGGGATCATGAGGATCATCCCATTCCACGCCCTGCTGCCAGGGGCAGGGACACCTTCCACTGTCCCAGGCTGCTCCAAGCCCCTCCAACCTGGCCTTGGGCACTGCCAGGGATTGGGAATCCACAACCTCTCTGGGAAACCCATGCCAGTGCCTCACCGCCCTCCAGGAAAGGATTTCTTCCTAATATCCCATCTAAACCTACCCTACCCTCTTTCAGCTTAAAGCCATTCCCCCACATCCTCTCACTGAATGCCCTTTAACATAAGCAGATAAAATCAACTCCAGAATTTACAGGACACTCTCCAACCCCATTTCCTTATCCTAAGGAAACAAATATTGAGCAGAGAGCTGGCATTTCCCTTAGTGCACACCATTTTTATAAAGAAAGAAAGCAGCTTCTAGCAACCAAGAGTGGGAATTGTGCAGCTCAGCAAGGGCACAGCCCTTGCAGGTGTGCTCACCTCTGAATTTCCATCTGCTCTTGGGGAACCACAAGCACAGCACGACCCTGAAACATGTCCCAAGTGAAGGGACCTGCCTTTCACAGAAATTTCACTTTGCTAAGCCCCCAAACTCCCTCACTACCATCCCTGAGTAAGCACAGATAAAAATGGCACTGACCTGATGAATTTGGATTCCAGTGGGTCATACAGAGACATCAGGACTTCAGCATCTTCTCCTATTTTACACACCACGTTTTTTAAATTTACAAATAGAGCAAATGAAGGAGTGGCAGCAAACTTGGCTTGTCTGTTGATATCAATATTCTGCTTCTGAGACTGCAATTCCAGAAGAAAATAAAGTTTAACTTAGCCTAACAGACATCCAACTGCTAAAAAACTTTCCTAAAACCTTCCAAAAAGAAGAGGACAAGGTTTCCATTGAGTGTCTGCTCCTGTGATCTTTTTTCTGTTAAGTTTTACGACAGACAGCAGTTTCTGGATCTGTCTTGAAGTGCCACACCATGAGGAAAAGTTAAAAAAAGAAGAGAAAAAGGAGAGAAAAGATGTCTTCACTTATTAAGTAAGAGAGAGACAAATGGAAAAAAAAAAAACAGAGGCTCAAATATACCTGAAAAAACCCAGGAACACAACAGAAAAAGAAACAGAAAAGTTTCTCCTTTTAAAATTTGAACTGCAAAGGTGCTGACAATTCAAGACTGAGAGGGGCTTTAAATTTGCCCCTTTTATTTCAGCAAGATTTAGGATTGGCATAAAGAAACCACACAAGAATGAGGATTTTACTCTTTGTGATTCTCAAATAAAAAAATCTGATGACAAGCTACCTTACAAACCTCTCACATACACCCGATATTAACCTACAAATGCAGCTGATTTATTCATACAGGTCTGAACCATAAATTCTACTAAACCCTTTAAAGGGTGAAAAAAACCCAGTCTAAGACAAAAATTCTTACAAAACGTTTAAGCCTTATAATTCTTCATAAACACATCAAATCCCTCATTACCAGTGCTAAAAATAACAGTCATCCAATTAGTTTACAGCTTTGTGCTTCACAGGGAAAAGCCACAGAGTCTCTTACTTTTTCCTCCTGTAGCCTCTCTTCCACTTGCTTGGAAGCAATTTCGTGTGCTCTGAAAAGGCTGATGGTGCTGGTCTGCTCTGGGTCCAAAATGTTGCCATCTTCATCTCTAACCACCAGATCTAAATCCAGAATTCTAAACAAGACAGATGTTTGTGGATTAACACAAAAAACACCTGCCGAGCATTCAACTTGCACACCTGACACGTGATGGAAAAGAAATTATTTGAGACATGATAATGCAATTTAACTTGTCACCAACCCTGCAGATCCAAGTCACTTACTGCCACAGCACAGGGAGAACTGATGGAAATGAAACAGCACAACAGCTGGGGAAGTAATTTCTTAAACAAATTTCTTAAACAAATAAATTTGACAGAGACTTGGTCACCTCTGATTTATCCAACAGTCTGAACAACCAAGTCCCACCACAGACAGCTCATGTCCCCCACTCCACCCTGTCCAACTACAAATTCATGTTTTACCCACACCCCACAAGATGAGCAGAAGTTGTTTCCTTTTTTTAAAGCAGAAGCCAGATCTCTGTCAGCAGGGTGTGAACATCCATAATTACCTTCTGCAGAGAGGAAGCTTTCTGCCATAATCAAATCCAGGCTCAGGAAAAAACCTTGCACATTTTCCACATTGCTGGCAGCAGTACCAAGGGTTAAAAAAAAAAAAAAAATTCAGGTCCCTTCCCTAGGACTGCCCTTGTCACCTCCATCCCAATAAATGTGTCCCTATTTTCTTCTCACTCCGTGTTCAGCTCTCCTGGTGGAGCTGCTCTAACTTGAGAGCTGAAATATGTTTGATCAATGAGCTTAAATCAAATTTGCTGTGTCTGAAAAGTCACACAGGGGTTCGTGATTTATCTGAAAGTAAATTCCCTCTGGGCATAACCTGCAAGGACTTGAAAACAGGAGCTGTGGCACATAAAAATATTTCCATGGACTTGGAGGGTTCCTCCCACACCTGGAAGTGTTAAACCCCCGAGTGGGGTCAAAGCCCTCCAATTAACTGCACTGCATTAATTAATTGCAGGGGAGACTAAGATAAGTCAAGGCAGCAGATTTTAAAGCTCTGCTCTGGAGCTGGACCCAGCCACCACAGAACATCTCACTCCCAAATGAATTTTCTGGTGAGAAAACAGTTTCATCACTGAAACCAAACAGCAAAGCAGCCAAAGTTGTTTTCCTCCTCCCTGCTCCTGTTCCCTGGCCAGCAGCCACAGCAGGAGAAACACCCACAGAGCACTGGAACTGTCCCAGCCCTTCCATGGCACAAACTGCCTGGGCCAGGGGAAAAGCTCAGAAATTCAAGGGAAGTCTCATAACCCAGACTACAACACACCAATGTTTGCACAGGCTGTCAAAGGAGTCACAGCAAACCCTCCTTTGATTCAATTCCTTTGTTTTAGCCTTTAACTTGCAAATGATGCTTGGGAAAAAAAAAATCTGATCTTTTTTTCCTAAGTGTCCCAGTTACAGATATTTGCAACTGAACCACAAAAAAAAGTGTTTTCATAACAAAATTACCTGACCCAATTTCAGAAAGATATTAAAAATACAGATTCTTAGGGCCATTTTTGCTTCCTCAGTTATTCTGACAATATGCTGCAAAACTTCTGTCTGTATTTATAGATTTATTTACAAATCAGTGTTTCACAAGTCAGGAGAAGTTAGGACACTATTAGGACAGAAAACATTTAGAATTATTTGGGTTAGGACCTCAAAGATCACCCAGTATTTACAAAGCAGATAATGAATTCATTCTGTCTGGATCCTAAAATCCCCATTCATGCTCCTTTTAGGCACAAGTGAATGTAGGGTTTTATTAGGAACATATGTTATCTTTCAGTGGTGAGGATTTAGTCAGAAGTTCACATTCACCTCCCTCCTGCACTCCCCAGAGAACGTTCTGATCACTTAATTAGTCCATCAGAACATTACAAATACAAAGCACAGCACAGGATGTTCCATTGGATTTGAAGGCTGAGCATCTGGAGGTTATTCAGAGCAACTTTTATCAACTTCTAGGGCAGATGGTGAAATCCAGTAGCCAAACAAATAATCCCAAAAACATCTGGTTAATTGTCTGCAGAGGTACCACTGTCCATATCTCAGATTACAAATGATAATTACTGACAATGCAGTTACTGATTTTTATTAATTTCCTTTTTTTTTTAATCACAGCTTTTGCCAATAAAGGACACGAGCAAAAATACTGCAAATTTGGCAGTTCTTAAGGAATTAAACACAAATAGCTGAAAGATGAGGAGATATTGGCATCACAAAGCATTGAAACACTGGGTTGGTGGAAACTTTTTCACTCCCCAGGTGTGGAGGACAACAGAATCCCACAATGGGTAGGACTGAAGGGAGCACTACAACATTGTATCTGTGTATTCAAAACACTGCTTCAAATGAAGAAGAGTAAGACTGGATTTCTCATTTTTGATCAAAATGCAAAAATCAGAATTTTATAGACAAGTTAAAATCTAAAACTTGTATTTACAAAATTTGTCTTTAAACCCAGCCAACCATCCAGGGAGATAATAAATCTGAATCACTAAAATAAATATCCAACACATGCAACCTGCACTGCTTTTTGGGGCAATATTTCCATCCCAACTTCTACTCTCTCATGCTAAATATCTCCTTTCTTTTATAAAATCTCCCTGTTCATCTTGTGCTACCAGCTGGATGCTGTGGAAGGAGAGGAACCATGAGCTAAATGGTGCTTCTGAGCCAAATCCTTCAACATCACATTACAGCTGAGTGACTCGAGGGCACAGGCAGCTGGTGGTGCTCACAGGGTGACAACTGTTTGTGCTGCAGAAGCAAGTGGAGTTTAAAAATTCTATTTTCAGGGCAAGCAACACTTGCACTTTTGAATTGGCCTTAAAAAAATTACAGCTTCATACCATCATCAAATTGATGACACCATCGAGAGAGAGAGAGAGAGATGGATTCCACTTTCCATATTATACTTTAAAGATGCTGCCTCCACTTCAATCTTTATCTTGCTGTGACAGAAGTGTGAATACACAAACATTTCATCTACAACTGCAGGGAAAGAGAGAACCCTCCAAGAATTCAGTGACAGCTGATGTGTCTCACACAGGGTGATCTGTCCACAAACCTGTTGCCATAATCAATTTTGGCAGTCACTTTCTTTTTCAGCTCCTTGAGCTCATCTTGGGGCAGGGTCCCAGAGAGGATTTGGGATCTCCACTCGATCAGGTCGTAAATCATGTGCCGGACGCTGCGGAACATTTCCCTGTTGTCCTGCTGTTGTGGGGAGCAAAAATAGGGGAGAAATCAGATTTGAAGGCTTGGGAACACGCTGGAGAAACTGCAATTATAAATAGGAATTCAAAAGGGAAGGCTACAACGGCTCTGAAACAGGAGCCTAACTTGTTACAGCACAGAACACTGAATATTCTCAGTGCTGCACTCAGCTTTAAGGAGCTAAACGAGTGTAAATGCTTGGGTTTATGTTATCTTAAAACCTGGGTCATGCTGTTTTCAGGCATGCAAGGGGAAAATGTCCTTCTATTGATTCCCAGGGTAGCTTTGTTCAGTGACCCTCTGCACTGAGCAGAGCAGGACTGAAAATAGTGCACTTTAACAGCAAGAGGCTCAAGTTCTGCAACAGATGGGAGAATGCTTTCTCTCCCTGGTTACACCTCCACAATAACACTTGAAAACCCCTCATTGTGCACATCAGTGCCATACAAGTCCACAGGTAACTTTTAAAGCACAGTGAAACACCAGGAAAGACCTAAACTTGATAGGAAGTTAAATACCTCAACTGTTTATAAAGCCCAGAACTGTAGATACTAAATACTGCCTGCAGCATATACAAATTTTCCTTGGCAACACTCAGCTAAGCTAGGAATAATTAAATAATTGCAATAAAATTCTTCACTTTAGAAAAAAAAAAACAAGGAAAAACTGCACAAGATGCAGGAAAAGAACATAATGACTCCAAGATTCTGGGAAAAGGATATCTAACTGTGAAACTTAAAGACTTCAGTCTGTTCAGATTATCCAAAAGCTGGCTTGATTATAGTGGGAGAACCTTCACAGAGAGAAAACACCCATTATTAAAAGCTCTTCAATGTAGCAGAGAAAGATACAACAGGCACATATGGCTGGGAGCTAAATACAGACAAATCCAAATGGGGAAGAGGTTCCTGATTTTCAAGGCTGCAGGCAATCATAAACCAGAGAGATGGGAAACATTCCCCATCCCCTGCTCTCTGCAAACAAAAACTGAACGTCCATTCAAGATCCAAACACAAACTACAAACTGAATCAAGGCAGAGATGTGGCAGCTGAATGGCTTTTGACATGCAAGACAGGGACAGCATGGAATATCCCTCAAGTCTGCCCAGTCTGCACCAGTTCCTTCCAGTAAGCCAAGCCTCCCTCCATGGCCTGCTCCTGGATTCAAAACGATTAGCAAAGCATTAAAATATTCTTTAACACAGGATCACAGAATGGAATGGTTTGGGAGGGACCTTAAATCCAACCCAGCCCCATTCCCTGCCATGGGCAGAGAAATTCCACTGTCCCAGGCTGCTCCAAGCCCCAACCCCATTTCCCACCCTGGCAGTGCCCAAGGCCAGGCTGGACAGGGTTTGGAGCACCTGGGACAATGGGAGGGATTTAAGGTCCTTCCCGACCCATTCCAATCTGGGATTCCACAGCAGTGGAACCAAGGGCAAAGCTGTTCCCAGTGCCCTCTTGAAATTCTGTTCCTCCTTTTTATTTCTGCCTGTCTACTTCCCACCACTCCAACTCCTTCAAGCTCTCTCTTTAATACATAATCTGTTTCTTTTCATAGATGATATTATCCTTCATCTTCTATATTGCCACCCTACATCATTTCCATTACACTCTTACTCCTAATCTTTGTTTTCATGGGTGTGATTAAAAGCCACATTAGTCAGCACAAATGTCTTCATTACCACTCGGTGTCTTCATTACACAGCTTGCACTTTTATGATACAAGATTTCAAACATATTTATGGCAAACAGAGACTGCATTAAACCCTGCTTTAAATAAAGGAATTTCATGTTCCTATTATCTTCTTACAGTGACCTTGCACAATGAGAGCATCAGAAGAGTGGTACCTTAAATCCCACAGAAGGCTCTGCCTTACATCTGAACTGCACTTCTAAATTTATGGTTGAATTCTGGATCTTCTTTATGTGCACTTTCACCTCTGTTTTTGTATCTTCCCATCCGACAGACTATCAATAATTATCACTATAAATTTCTAAGAATACATTCTTAGTATATCAAAATAAACAAGTGTGCAAGTTGAGGTGTTAAAATCTGGGAACAATCAACTTTATGTAAAGGAATACTGAGAGGTTAAAGACCTACACGGATAATTTTATAAAGCTTTCCATTTTACACCCACGAATTCAACATTAAATACTCAATTATTTCATTACAGAGACCAGAAGCTTTAAACAGCCTGAAAACCATTTAATTTCTTTAATAAAATTACATATTAAATTACTCCAAATCTGTATACACCTCAAAAAAGTCAAACATTTTCTATAATAGAACCTACACAAAAAAAAGGATTGTAACCACTCAACAAATTATTGCTTGATCAAGGTAACACTCTAAAAAAAAAAAAAAAAACTGATTCTGCACAAGAAAAAAAGAGATTTGATACAACAAGCAAGAGATTTGTGCTTTACCAAGCACAAAAAACCTGAGATTTGTGCTTTAACAGAGATGATGCTACATGGATTCTGACAGAGCCTTGAGAAACAACAACAGAAGGGGAAATTCATTAAGAGTTCCTTCATCAACAGCAGCTCCTTCCTATTTCTCCCTGCAGCACTTTTGCCATCAAACCCTGCCAGTGTGCAGATTGTCCTGAGCTGTCCTTACCACATAGAGCTGTCTCCAGATGATGGACCATTCCCTGAGAGTGGTGGTGACCTCCTGGATCAGGGGCAGCTCGTTGGGGACCACTGTCTCGTGTTGCCTGAACAGGAAGGGTTAAAAAAAAAAAAGAGCTGAGTTAAGCAGCAACTTCAGTGAGGATGAAGAATCACAGAATTATTAAGGTTTGAAAGGAGATTTAAGGTCATTGAGTGTTGCCAGCACCACCTTTGGCACCACTAACCCATGTCCCCAAGTGCCACATCCACAAAATTTCTGAGCAATTCCAGGAATGGTGACACCACCACTGCACAGAGCAGCCTCTTCTGTGGACATTTTCATGCTGGTATCTAATCTAAATCACCTGATCTAGAAAATTCCTTAGGAAGAACTGCTCATTTCCAAAGGGAACTGAATAGAACTGGGTCAGAATTAGCATTACTTGTTATGAAATTATTATCCAAAATAAGACAGTATCAGAAATTGAAGCACTGGACAGCAGTAAAGCCACACTACATAAAAGGTATTTTGATGTGCTCAGATTATGGAATCATGGTTTAGGTTGGAAGGGATCAAAGATCTTGCTCCACCTCCTGCTACCATGGCAGGGACACCTCCCACTGTCCCAGGAGCTCCAACCCCAATGTCCAACCTGGCCTTGGGCACTGCCAGGGATCCAGGGGCAGCCACAGCAAATCTGGGAATTCCATCCCAGACCCTCCCAACCCTCCCAGGGGACAATTCCTTCCCAAAATCCCATCCATCCCTGCCTTCCTTCAGTTTAAGGCCATCCCCTCCTATCCTATCCCTCCACCCTCTGCTCATTTCTGCACTCCCAAGGATATCAATGCACTCCTCCCTACAACACCCATTACTGATTTACCTCACAAGAAACAACCAAGACAAAAACCACATGTGCCCAACCCACAACACCACCATACTCCTCTTTAATTGTTCTTTTTTTTTTTTTTTTCAAAATTAAGATTCGATTCATTACCAGGAAGTTTCTGCATGATTTGTTTAAAAATGAGGTGCCATGAAGGTAAGAAACACCAGCCAGATCTCTGAATATTGCAGCAGTAGGATACTTAAAGGCAGTTTTGCAATCAGCAAAGGAAGATGTCATTATGCAGCAATCTCATGATTAGTAGTTTGATCATTTACATATTTAACAGAGTATAAAAATAAATCAGGCACAAAGGAATAAAACATTTTAATCCTGTTTCACTCCATTTCATACCTGGGTAATGATTTATTAATTTCACTCCACCACATTTTTCCTCTGGGATTAGGTTGGGATGTTTTCCCCTCTTTTTTTTAATTCAACTTTTATACTCACATTAGAGACTTTTACCTGCATGTCCAGCAAAGCTGATTTGATACATGAGGATCTGAAGAGCTGCTGAACAACAAATACAGCTCAAACTATTGCACACACCAAGGAAAGGAACAGGAAAATTACAAAATAACTCCTCAGTTAGCCAGAACACTGCCTGGAAACAAGTGTAAGTTACCTGGTAATGCACTGAAATGTAAAGAAAACAGGAAAAAAGAGTTTTTGTTCTTTTCAAATCCAACTTACCCTTTGCCTTCAACAATTGCTTCCTTAAGATGGATATAGGAGGCAGGGAATATGCCCTTGGAGAGGGAAGGAGGAGAAGAAAAAAAAAAAAAGTGTTATTTAACCAGGTGTACACTACATAATGTGTTTATTCCTAAAAATTGCCAAAACACTGCTGGGTGTGCAGAGCCATTCACATCCCTGAGCATCACAAGAGTTGTGTTTGGGACTTTTTTAATATATATTGAATTTTTGCATTGCCTTTTCAAGATGTTATTGCAACCTTACAACTGCTCTGAAAAAATATTCTCAATTCATCAAGATGCCAGAAACAAAACAATCTTTTTAGAAGAATCCAAGTCAAGCTGATAAAGCAAATTCCACCATCTCACCCTTCAAGGCAGGAGTTGAGTTCTCTGATCATCTGGGAATGCAATAATAGAAATTCTTGGGAAGCCACTGGGGGAAATAATGCATGGACATGTGACTTTTTATCCCAGTTTAAAAAATATTTTAAAAATCACTAAGTTTAGTGGCAGTCAGACAAATGCAGCAACACATGGAATTAATTTAAGGCAAGAAAAATGTCTAATTGCTTCTCAGACTGTAAAAAGCACGTTCATGAAATACAGTTTGTAAGAAATTCAATGTGTTCACACACACACACAAAAAAAAAAAAGTACAAAAATAGAATAAAAACCCAGGCCTGGTAAGGAAATGGGTGGGATGAACCACCCAACTCTGTATTTTAGACATGGAAACAACTAAAAACACACTTCTGGAGGCAAACACAGAATTTGCAGTGTTTCAGTGAAAAAAAAGCAGCAAACCCTGAAGTTTAATTTTGTTTAATTACTACTATGAAGCAAAAGGCTCAAAAAATAAAACACAATGCTGCAAGCAGTATTTGTGTGGTTTCCTCTCTTTGCATTTCACAAAAGCTGCTGTAAATGCAGCCCTTGGTGCACACTGAAATTCCACTGCAGGAGAAGCCTCCTCCCCTCTCCAAAGGGAAGAATTGAAAATTCCCAAGGTTATTCCTCTCCAAGCTGTAAGTGCATTTCAGCAGGAACCCAGAATTTCACAGCAGTGCCAGCCTCTAAAAACAGAGCAAGGAGAACACCAAGGGCTGAAGTTTTTAGTGAGGAAAGGTTTGGTGCAGCAGTTACTGCACAAAAAGAGATGATGATGCATGTCAGGATTTAATGATTGATTTACCTTTAAACTGCAAAAAATGAACATAGAAATATAAAATAGCCTGGCTTGGAAGAGACCTTAAAGCTCATCCAGGTTCCACCCCTGCCATGGCAGGGACACCTCCCACTGTCCCAGGTGCTCCAACCCCAATGCCCAACCTGGCCTTGGGCACTGCCAGGGATCCAGGGGCAGCCACAGCAAATCTGGGAATTCCATCCCAGCTCCTGCTCACCCTCCCAGGGAAGAATTCCTTCTCAATATCCCATCTCAATCTCCTTCCCACAGCTTAAAGCCACTCCTCCTTGTCCTGTCCCTCCAGCCCTCATCCAAAGTCTCTCTCCAGCTTTCCTGGAGCTCCTCCAGGCACTGAGAGGCCACAGTGAGGTCACCTCAAAGTTTCCCTTCTCCAGGCTGAGCAATCCCAGCTCTTGTTGGGATTGTTCTCCCAGCAGAGCTGCTCCATCCCTTTGCTCATCCTGGTGCCTGCTCTGGACTCTCCAGCAGCTCCATGTTCTTCCTTTGGACCCCAGAGCTGGATATGCCACTCATTTTTTAGGTCTTGCTAAAATAATTTAAATTATTTTAAAAATAAAATAAAAAAATCCCACCGACCAGAGACTGAGAACTCAAGACACCTGGGATCCAGCTCCCCACACACCCAGTGCCAAAATCCATCTTATTCCAAGAGAAAAATGAGCATCACACTGGGGCAACACTCACCTTCTTGGATTTCTTCCTTAGTGTATAACCCCTGTACCAGCCTAGGAGAGAAAAGAGGGAAAAGCATTAAAAAGTTCATTTATGGCACCTCCCAGCTGCTCCTTCCCAGCTCCACAGCATTGTAAGGTGGTTTCTGATCATACTTCAGCCCTGCACATCCCACCTGAATTTCTATTTTCCTGGATAAAACAAGTCATCCTGGAAGGTATAAAATCAGAGTGATAATGGAGAGAAGAATTTCCACATCCTGTTGATTATCAAACTCAGCATTTAAATTCCCTTGTACAAGGATTAAGGGAGGAAAGATTTTGGTACAGGTGATGTTTGTGGAGTTTCATATCAAAAATGGTATCTGGAAAATGCTGAAATCATTGCACAGCACTAACACAGGCACCCAGCACAGAAAACACAATTTAGGACCCAAGTGACTTTCAAATTCAGATTAAACTTCTTGCAGCAGCAGGTCCATTTAGCACGACCCAAGGGTACCCAAAAAATCACCTCTCATTTCTCTGTTGTGGGGGAGATGCTACAACACATCCATACAAACCCAGCGGTGTGAAAATTCTTCCTCCCCAAAAAAATCCAGTGCTTATTCACCATCAACCACACATCTTCATCTGCTTCAACTTCCAATTCAAGAGGGTCACAAAGAGAATTCCTCCAAAAAAAAAAAATTTTAAAAAAATCCTATTTTCCAATTCAATTTTTGCCATCTTACCCTCATAAGTTTCCAGTATGTGCACAGTGTCCCCAATCTGTAAGGAAAGCTCATCTGGTCCCCTGGCATCGTAGTTGTAGAGAGCTGGAGAGAGGGAACATTGCTGTGAGTACAGGAAAGGCAACACAATTCCAGGTGTTTCTCCACATCAATGCTTTTCTTACTCATCATTGCCATCCTGAATCTTTTGGTTAAAAAAAAATTGTTGAAAATTTTCCATTAAAAAATTCAGCCAAGTTCTTAAACCCGTTAATATTTCCCTTTGTAACAAAAATAAAAAACCCACAAGTTCACTTTCTAAAGCTGTCCCTCACTCTGTTCATAATGCTTTGCTTCTTCATGGCAATACACTCAATTTCTGTTGTATTTGCCAGCCTTCCAGAGCACTTTGTGTCAATTTTCAGCAGTTCTACAAAGAACTGCTCTGTCTTCCCCTGTCAGCTCAACACACAGAAAACTTACAAAGTGTCTTTAGAAAACTCAAATTGCCACGCTAACATTAAAGGATGGCTTCTCAGTCACTTCATTCATTTACTGCATGCACAGCAATTGAAAAATATGATTTCAGATCTTCTGAGTGCCAGAAGCAACTGCACCAAGCAATAACTACAACAAATCCAACGGGAACTCCAGGACCACTCCTCCCTGCCACTCCAAAAATAAAATCTGTAAACTCTTGAGCACTGAGATTGGCAATTTCCACAAATCCATCTGACTAAGAATGTTACAATTCAGGTCTGGTTGGGAAAAAAATATTTGTTATCTGAAAAACAAAACGTTTACAACTCCTAAAGCTCAATTTTTAAGTTTTATATGGAGTAAACTCTGTGGAAGAAAAAAAATCTTCCAATATCAATGACTGAAGGCAGAGATTGAAATATTTCAAGAGATTGAAATTAAAGAACTTCAATCAAGGTGGACCCACAGAAGTTTCTTCCTCAATTTACAACTGCAGCTACTGCTCCAACGAGGATCAATAATAGCTGAAAATCAGAATTTCTGTTTGTTGTAATTCTCCAGGAAACAAAAGCATTTTTTTTTTTAAACATAATAATTACCTCCCAGGTTCCTACCACCCCTCAGATCACCACTGCTTTTCTTTCTGCCTCATTTTCCAGGGCAGGACTCAGGGATGTTTTATTGGAACACAATGACCTGGGTAAGTGACACGTGGCTCTCACAGGAAATTTTCAGACCAAGAGTTCACAGAGCATCCACAACACATTCCACACTCATTACAGGTAACAAAGCACTCCCAAAAAACCCTGCCAAATTCAAAACCTATGGCAGGGTTATAAATTTAAATATAAAACTCGATTATAAGAAATACAAAAAATCATCAAATTTAAGTATAAAATTATAAACAGGAGCAATGAGAGGTGGGATCCAGCAAACACCTGCCTTACCTGGCCAGCTCCCCCCTACCCCAGCAGATCTCCTGTGTTACACAGGAGAACAACACCACAAATTACATCTGTAAGAGCTGGCAACTGCACAAAAACCACTGCTCTGAGCCCAAATTTGATAATTATTTTATCCCAGAGTTCACTCACTGGGAACATCCTGGTGGGCACCAGGAGAATTCTAATCCCAGCATGAGGATGGGGCACAGAGCCCACTGCTGCCTCCAGGAATTGCTGCTTGTTCTCCCCACAACTCCTGGAATTCCAGCTCACCAATAAATAAATAATCCACTGGATCACCAATAAATAATCCACCCAGGCTGGCTGGGTCCTTTTCTCTGTAAAACTCCTCCAGCCTGATAGTTAAATCTTGAGAGGTAAATAAATAAATCTGAGTGCACAAGCAGAAAAAAACATGGAAAAGCAGTTTGGAAAACATTGTACAAAGTGGAAGATTATTGATGGAATAAAAGCACACTACAGGGTAAAAAGAATAAAGGTCAGGTGCACTGCAGAGACCAATATCACCAGGATTTAAATGAAGAGTTTAGAAAGTACCAGTTTCTATTAAAGCCAAGCTATTTGTTTTTAATGTCTTCCTTAATTTTGTCATTATTAGAGACAGATAAGCCCTCCCTCCCAAGTATCTGGCACAGGACATCAAAGCCATAAATGCTACCCTGCAGGACAAGGGGGTTCTGAGAAACACAAAAAAAATGAGCATTTTAAACTGCTCTGAGCAGGGGGATCATCAGAGCACATGGGACAGTCTGCTTGGAAACACTCCCCAGAAATATTCTCATTTCAGCTTTTGTGCACAGCAGGGAAAACAAAAGTTACACAGCCCTAACTCCTCCAAACTTGTGGCTGCAGTGCAACACAAAAATCCGTCCTTGGGGTGTTTATTCAGATCCTTCAAAGCTCAAAGCTTAAGCAAGGGGCCCCTGGGATGTTCACACATCCAAAAATGAATCCAAGGACAGTCTCCCACCTCCAGGACCCTGACAGGCAACTTCACTCGCTCACACCACACATCCCAGCCAGGAAAAATTTGCATTAGAGCAGATTAAAAACCAGTGCTCAATTCACACTTCAGCTGAGCACTTCTCCAACATTGAAGAGGTATAACACTCAGGGATCAAAGGCAGCTATGAATAAAAGGCACTAAAATTTATGCCCAAGAGTGCTAAAACTGGTGTCTGTCACAACAAGGCAGGTCAGGCAGCGGGAGCTGCAGTAATGACCAATTCTTCTGACAGAAGATGACAAACAGCCATCAAATGGTAATTACTGCCCACGACAGCTCCCACTGACCTCAGCTGACTGAGGAGCCAGGGAGGGGTGATTTATCTTTAAAAACATATATATAGATGTGTGAAAAAAATATCTCTGCAAAAGAAAAAAATAAATCACATTTCTGGCTTCCAACGGCATTGACAGATCGTGAAGCAAACCACCAAAATAACTATAAAGTGCATTCCACCCCTGTGATTACAAAGCAAGGCTTGAACTGCACCACAAACTCCCCTGCAAGAGCAGATAAACTCCTGCTCACAGGAATTCTTCTCATGTACAGTGACATCAAAAGATGTTGTGACAGAAAATGTTTGATTGGAGCAAACAACGAGGCTTTAATTAAAGGAAAAGCCAAAGTTTGGAGGAGTAAAGCATGAAACTGGTGTTGTTTGCATTTTGTCTCATCAACTCTATCCCGAGCTATCATTTAAAAAGATTTAAAAACCCAAGGTCTAACTTTTGATTTTTTTGGTGTTTTTTTTTTCACCAAAGTATGTTTTGCTTAATTTTAAAAATCCAACACCCACACGAGAGTCCCGAAAACAAAAAAAAAAATTAAGTGTGGGCACGGAAAGAGGCATTTTTTCAACTGTAAGAGTTGATAAAGAAAGCAATGATGAACAGGGCATTACAGTAATTGCACCAAACCTCTTTTACCATTCAAAAACAAAACCTCTGTGAGCCGCACTCATTTACCTGCACACATCAGAAAAATGAGGAGGCCAACACCAGAAGAATTAGAGGTAGAAAAAAAGGAAAAAGCAAACAAAAGGTAACATCAGCTTATACTGAAATAGCTTTTTTCCTGACTGTACAAAAGGTGAGATATCTTAAGATACCATAAAGATGTTACAGAGTAATATTCCCTGGTATTACTTTGCTTTAAAGGCTGTATTAATCATTCTAAACTCCTGAAAGAAACCAAAGTACATTTACACATTACCAGCTTTCTTTTATACTGGCTTTAAAAAAAATAAAATAAAATCCCTAAACCATAACTGTGCTTTTTCAATAAAAGCAGACAAATTGCAGAGGTGAAAGCAAAGGCTTTTGTAAATTCACTGGTATTAAAAGACACCTGAAGTTTTTCCTATTTTCCCTAAAATCAAAGTGGTTGATTTGAGTATTCAGGCAGATTCCTTAGTCCTCTGCTACTCACCCAGAGAAGTTTCTAATTTCTACACCTGAGGCTAATGGAGAAGAAAACTGAAAAAAGCATTGATGGAGTCAGGAGTTACACCTGAGAATTGTTAAAGACAATTATTTCATGTGTTCATTAACCAAGGGTAGATCCTCTTATCCTCACCTTGGGTTTTTGTTACTCCTGGTCTCACCAAGCTTGATTCAGAGTTCTTAATATTTTAATTATTCAGTCATTCAAACATTCCCCAAAAAAATAACTTCATGAAGAGAGGAGAAGCCTGGAGAAATCCTTAGATCTGAACAGTTAGCACCAAGCTAAAGGAAAAAAATCCAGCTCGAGGTTCCTCCTGCCCAGTGATGCTCTAATCTTATTGATTAAATCCATGAATGTGACTTTTATCGCAGGATTAGCCCAAATCCCACAAGTTCAAGTAGATAAAAAGGATTTATCACCACTTTCCCTTACAAAGGTGAGACAGCTCCTTTCACTCCTCCCCTTCTGTGAGCAGCAAATTCCTGAGACACACAATGGTTCACCTGGAACCTCCTCCATGGCTACACGGGGCACCTGGGAGGGTGACAATCCTAAAGGAGACCCTGGAAACCCTCAGCCTGCTGTCCCTGCCATGCCATGCTATGCCAGCCTGCTGTCCCCCTTCCAAAGTGAGGACACCAAGAGGAAAAATGCCACCAAGCTTTTCTAAGCACACCTCAGCTTTCAGAGCAGATGGCAAGGGCAGCAACACGTTCTGCATCACATCTGGTGTCTTCACCTCTCGCTACCCAACATAAATGAATTCATTCATAAGCTGAAGAAAGTTCAGAAATCCAGAACAATCCCAAATTTGAGGCTTGGTGCCTTCCCAAAGTGCAACCACACCCTGCTGAGAACTGCTGGCAGAGCTCAGGTAGGACAAAAGATGCTCACTTGTCCTTTCTGCACTAATTAAAAAATACAGAATGAAATCAAACCTGGAGAAAAGGAGGTTCAGGGGGGACCTTGTGGCTCTGAACAATTCCCTGACAGGAGGGGAACAGCCAGGTTGGGATCAGGCTCTGCTCCCAGGGAAAGGGAGCAGGAGGAGAGGAAATGTTGGACATCAGGAGCAATTTCCCCATGGAAAAGGTGGCTGGGCCTGGGCAGGGGAGGTCTGGAGTCCCCATCCCTGATGGGAGCCCAAGGAATTCTCTGGGCTGGGGACAAGGTAGGATCAGAAGAGCTTGAATTTAAAGGTCTTGGGG